AAAAAAAAAATGAAAAACAAAAAAAAAAAAAAAAAGAAAAAGAAAAAGGACCTTTCAGTCCTCTAAAAATTATGAAGTAAATTTCAGTAGTTTAACCAACTGCATAATGCTAAAACTGCTGAATTAGATTGAGAAGGTGGATTCTAATAAATGTTAAGAAATTCATGTGTCCTTCAATAACCCCTTCCAATGCACTCCCTGAACAGGAAAAAAATGGAAAGAAAAAGAAATAAAATAATAACAGAGAAATATCAAAAAGGCCCACAGAGCCCAAACAAAATCAACGTGGAGATACCACAATTTTTCCGAATATAGTAGTGACATGTACAATGAAAAAGAAAAGCGTTGAAGGTTTGAAAAAGAATACAGAACTTTATGAACGCCGCAATAACCAAACCATCAAAACAGAATGCAGACAATTTTATGAAAGTCTCAATACCAGAAACCAAAACAGAATACAGACAACTTTACGAATGCCGCAATAACCAAAACCATCAAAATTCTATGCATTTAAAGCCTTTATATTCTATTCTATTCCAGGACTACCATTCAAAAATATGTTTCGAGATTGACTGAGAAAAAGACCCATAATGTCATATATTTAGGCGATTATAAAAATCCATGCATATATGCGATACTGTGATTGAAAGTATAAAACCACACTTGTCAAAATAAATATGTTTGCAATTTTTTTTTAAATAAAAAATCTTGTGCTAGTGCTGGAGAAGCCTATGCAAAATAAGATACTATATATCCTAGCATTTTAAAATCCTAAAATTTTAACAAAGATCAAAGAGAAAATTCATCATCTTCTTTCTGAACACCTTCTTGAATTATAGCAACTAATACATCCCGCAGCTGCATACAGAAACTAGTTGTCAGCTGTCACCATTCTCTACTAAACCAGGAAGAGGGAAAATATATGAATAACACACAGCAAAAGATCAAATCTAAATAACACCATGATCTGAAAGTAATCATTCAAAGCTAAAATTTCCAAAAATAGCAGCACCAGCTATTTAATTACAAACTTTACATCCCCATTTTGGAGGGAAAATAAGAAAATTAAATAGAAACTCCATATACAGTTGAAAGCAGGATACAGCAACCAATTATAACAAACAAAACGTATGGGCTGTAAATAACAACTAAAAATGATGAAAGTGCATAAATTTCTCTTATACTATCCATATCGAAATTTCCAATTCAAAGAAATTTTGTTTGGAAGTCTCACCTGACAATCCATGGATTCCGAGTCTCTCTCCGCAATACCCGAAGCCACAGACCTTACTGTGGAGACCACAGTGGAGGCACCAGAGGAAACAATCCTCAGGTAACCTGAAAGAGCCTTGACTGATGTGGGGAGGATCCCGTTATTGCCTCGGCCTGGCCTTGGCACCGCCGGCCATCCATCACCGCCACCAATTTTCCGGTCATCATTCCTCATCCCCAAACTTCACCACCGAAGAGAAAATCTCACAAGTAACTCGCCGAAAACACACCGCTAAAGATGTTCAGCTCTCTTACAACGAACATAACCTCATGTCCCTTTATAGCACTAATAAAACAAAAGTCCACAGAAAAACTTGATCCCCTCAGCTTACAGATGTATGCATTTTTCGCTCACAATTCAAAAAACATGCAGCTCGCAATTAAAAAGAAAAAAAAAGGGCTCAACTACACTTGCCCAGCGTCATCTTCTGTTTTTTGCCTCCTCACCATTTTATTAATGGCACCACCTCAAAAAATAAATGTAAAATATATAACATTAACAAGGGTGGCTGTGTGAACTCTAATACTACAAATTTTGATAATACAGACAACAATATTCCCCAAATAATATTTTGTCGTCTGCAATTTTTGTGGTTATCTGCCTCTATACAAACCTAAGTTCAAAAAATTCTAAGAATTTATATGAATTAAAACAATCATACAAAGAATATATACAAGTCGAATAGAAATTTTTTGTAAAAGTTGAACTCTTAATGTGTTCGATGATTTCTGAGATTGATGATGTCTAGAGAGAGAAAATCAAATGCTTATACGTATAGTTTTAGAGAGAGAGACAGAAACTTTGACGAGATACGGATAACGAAGAGAGACGAGACAAGAATTAAACTCTCTCTCTAATTATAATTTTTAATTAATTTTGCAACTTCATCTGTTCTCTTCCATGGTCACCTGAATTCTACCGCGGTCAGCCAAGGTAAACAGTAATGTTCAATTCGAAATTTAGGGTTTTACTGCTCTTTTAAATCTACTACAATGCGAAGTTATAAAACTGTTCTCCTGCCCACGGTGAAAAGTTTTATAATTTCTACTCGAACTCGAAGAGAATCCAACGTTGGTTCTCTTGGCACATCAGCAGGTGGACAATCTTATTCTGCCCACCGTGAACAAGAGAACATTTCCACACGAAGTTAACCACCCGTTTGGCCCCGTTGCTCTACATTTAACGAGAGAAATAATAATTTTTTTTAGAATGTGATTAAAACAAAAATTTTAAAAAAAAATTTGCTTGTAATTTTATTTTATTGAAGAATGTGTGATTGATAAGAAAAAGAGAAAAAAATAAATTATAATTTAATGAAAAATAATGGAGACAGCTAAAACTACAACTCTATGAAAATATTTTGAAAACTAAAAAAA